TTTACCCTTCGCAGCCAGGCACTGAGTCAGGATCCCAGGAACAGAAAGGATCAGGGAAGGGGGCCTGCCCAAGCATGGGCTCTGGAGGCCTGAGGGTTTGGGTTCAAATCCCAGCTCCACAACCAGCTGTTCCACTCTTGGGAGGGTCACTTCACCTGCCTAGGTGTCAGTTTCATCACCTGACGACAATTTATCAGATCACCCACCCACCCCCCCAGGGGTTGTTGAAATGATTATGTGTTTAATCAAAGCCCCTGGCACATAATTCACTACTGGAACCCATCCTCTCTCCACAGCTTTGCCCCACCAAAGTGCACATGCACACGCACACATTGCGCACACACACACACACACACACACACACACACACACACACACACACACGTGCACTCCTTGAAAAAGAAAGCAGAGACTCCTTGAGAAAGACAGCAGAGGCTGGGCCAGGTAGCGCACAGGTCCTTTGCTTCCTTCACCGGCACGTACATGGGCTGACAAGCAACAGAAGCATGAGAAGCACTGTGGGGAGGTGGGCAGATACCGACGGGGCCCTGAGCCCCCGACTCCAGGTGTTTATGGGTAAAGGGTGGGAAAGGGCGAAACATCTAGAACAAGGAAACAAGGGGCACTGAGGAGAGGACGTCATGGGGAGTGACAGGGCCTTGGGAGGGAGCCTGGACACTCACAGGCCACAGGTGGGGAGGTGGGGAGTGGAGGGGAGGGGAGGGAGCCCTGCACCCCCATCCCGGGCAGAGGGAGTCCTCGCCCACACAGACAGATGCTTCTGGTTACACACAGCAATTAGGGACTGAGAAGAAAGAGCTAAGAACCAGGAACGACGACCAGGTCCCTAAAAGTCACCAAGGACTGGGAAGCCACCTTTGACTTGGGGGTCAAGGGGTGAGGGGCATGTAGTGAGCAAGGTGCTCAAAACAACTTCCTACACCCCGGGCCTGAGCCCTGCCCCAGCTCAGAACCGAGTCTGGTAGCTGGTGGGCCTCCCCCTGGGCTTCTTACGCCCCCGGGGCCACCAAGTGATCCAGGCCCAGCAGCCACAGCTTTTGCACCAGCTGCAGAACGAGGGCCGGGGTTCCTTCAGCCTGTCCCAGAAGACGGTCAAGGCTTGGGCCCTCAAGTTCCGGCCCAGGTTCATCAGGACAGCGGGTGGGCTGGTGACAGATCGGGGGTCCGGTTTCTGAGCAAGGGAAGGGAGGTCTGGGGAGGGTGGGGCTTTGGCCAGGCAGTGGAAGGAGGGGCCTCAGGCTGTCTGTGGGGCCTCTGCAGGCTGCTGGGAAACAGCAAAGCCTGGAAAAGAAGGGGGTGGACGTGAACTGGGGGCCTGAGGACCACAGGTCTGGCCTGGGCAGCAGGCAGGGGCTACGCCTGGTCAGCTACATCAGAAAGAGACAGCCACCATCGAGAGTTATGCAGGTTGTCCAATGCCCAGCCATAGACGTCACCATTCAGTTTACAACCTGCACAACCTTACATGGCGAGCCCGATGAGGCCACCCAGCAGTGACCAAACGGCCATCAGAGTCAGAGCAGATCAGATATAATGGTGAGGCTGCCAATAGGTTATAAACTTCACAGCTCACCCAGAAGGCCAAGAAGGCACCAGGACAGGGTTAGAGGGGAGGGATGGGTCAGGGAAGTTGTTATGGCATAGCAGTGAAGAAAACGGGTTCAGTGGCCTTGAACAAATTATTTTGCTCTCTGAACCTCCGTTTCCTCTCCAAATGGGGATAATACGTACCTACAGGGGTGTGAGGATTAGAGAAGATAATTCGCATCACTAAATCATCTTTGATATCTCCGTGAACTCCTCAAGGCAGGGTTCTCACGGCCTAGCACAAGGCCTGTACTCAGCAGATGTTACTCCCCAACCTTTGGGGCTTCCAGCTGGGGAGAGGAGACCTTAACCGCCCCCCATCACCCTGTAGGAGCCCTTAGCCCACCTTCAGACTCACCCAGGGGACTGGTCCAACTGTGGCCCTTGCTGGCAGAGGCTTTCGTCCTAATGGCCTGGGTGGCCCCAGAAGGCCCCTCTTCCTCCCAGGCCCTGAGAGGGTGATTGGCCCTTTCGTCCTCCAGCCTCCGAAAGTCCTGGGTTGGCGCCCCCAGCTGCTGCTCCACGACCCCGCCCCCCATGTTTGTTTTTGCTGCTGCCCCTGCTGCAGGGTTGGGGAGCCTTGGGGATGGGGGAGGTGGGGGTGGGGGACACAGGAAGGGGGCGGGCCGAGACAGGAAGCTGAGACGCAGTGAGGGGCTACAGTCCGTGCCCTGACCCCCGGCCCAGCCCCAGGAGCAAAAAGGGTGAAGATCTGGAATCCTATGCAAACTCCACGTAAATAAGCATTGGGGCCACAGTTCCCACTGAGGGGGACCTGAGGTGCCTACGTAAATGATATGCAAAGTCCATGCAAATCAGCACGCTGGGTGGGGCCAGGCTGGGGTAAGTGAGCGTTTGGGGGGCTCACCTACCCTCACCTTTCATCGGCTTGACGATCTGCAGCTTGTCCGGCTGGCCGGAGGGAGGCCCCCACGGGAGCACTCACCTTTCTGGAGCATCTTCTGCCTCAGCTGCTGTAATGGGCGTCCTGCCAGTTGGCCAGCTGCTGGAGGATATACTTCATGTCCAGGTGCGAGGGGCCCAAGCCGCTGGCCTCCAGGGCTGACGTGACCACATTCATCCGCGTTGCCTCCTCCGCACATGCACACTTGTGCAGGGCTCCACCTCCTCCCAGGCCTCAGCCTCCTCAGACACCAGCTCTGCCTCTTCCGTCACCCCCTCGTCAGCTGGCAGCGCCTCTTCTGTGGCCCCCAGCTCCTCCTCAGGCACCAACTCCTCCGCAGGCGCGAAGTCCTCAGCCGACATCAGCCCTTCCTCTGCCTCAAGCCCCTGCTGCCGCTCTCGATCTTCACTGTAGTGCAGCTCATAGCTGGCCAGGGAGACAGGAAAGTCCTTCCCTAACCCCCCAAAGCCAGAGCCACCCCTCTTCACTCCCCCCAGGGCATCTCCAGCCACTGGGGCTCCTGCTCTCCGCCCCGGTCTGCACACAGCCCCTGATGGTTACTCCCCAGTTCTGTCCCAGCCAGGGGAGAGGGCAGCTGGGTACCAGCCTCAAGGCTTCAAATACCCAGCCCATGACCCTGGTAGAAAGAAGAATGGTCACCAACACTGCCTAGGCCCTGCCTTCCCCTAGAAACCCCACCCCGCTGCACGGAACAGACCAGCAG